CACTCAAGACTCGAGTCGAACTTGCCTTTCGCTGATGCTACTAGACCGAGTGTATAATAACAAATGGCAATATCTTCATGATCATAAGGCAGTTCATTGAGCATACGTCGATAGTATTTCTCGGCATCATCAAATTTTCCCATTCTCCACAAAGAGTCCCCAAACGACAGAAGTCCTGTTTCTCCATCTTGATATTGTTTCTTCATGTACTCAAATAAAGTCTTAAAATCTTGATCATTTTCACTGGATAAAGTCATTCGAATAATCCAGATTCGATTTTCTTCCATATAAATATTTTCTAGTCGAAAGATAGAACCTAACATAATTAATACTTCTTGCTCTTCACTGAAATAACTAAGCGAAGTAACGTCGGCAAACGGTTTTGTTGTAATAACTTGAGCATCAAGATCAATCTCGAATAAAACTCGTACTGAATCATCTGATGAATCGTAATCTCCGAGCAGAAATAGTGCTAGTTGTCGATCGACACTAGTCGAAAGAAATGAGTTCATCGAGAGATATTGTCCGATCGATTGTTTCATTATTTCTAATTCTTCTTTCGATATTAATTGAGCTCGATAGACACGAATTGATGATGATAATTGATGTTGTTTCAGTTGTTGTCGAAGATCACGAAGAAAAAATCGAAAAAGAAAGAGTAAATCAATATTCTGTACACGAAGAGCCTTGTTTAATGTTCTATAGAGAAATGATTCTCTTGTGTACCACCATACAGCTCGATCAGATGAATAATTATGTTCAAAATCTAAAATAATGGCTAATGCAGTTGTATTATCCTTGTATTCTTCTTTGCACCAAGAGATCAGTTCATGTTTGTCTGTTGAAGACGCTTTCATTCGAAGAAGAACATCGATGAGTAATTGTGAATGAACGAAGTAACCATTGAGTTCTGTTGATGATTTCTCTTGAGTACTTAATGTATTGAATACGGCAATTGAAAGTGAATCTTCCATTTTATTATGAATTCTTCTGATTGCTTCGGATTCGATTTGATATAAAAGTTCGTCGAACTGCGTAAAAACACCTTTTATCTAAAATATACAATAAACAATGATGAACGAATTTCTTGTGAAGGAAGGCATGTTTGTAATAGCATTACTCTACATTGAAATTTTCGATCATTTTACTTGCAATAGAAAAATGTTTCTAATTCAATGCGAAGTAAAATTTAGTGGTTTAGCTCTGTTGACTTTCGAATGAATGGTAACAAATTGTCTTTAAACAGTTTCTTCTAGATTCGAAACTAGTACGGAACATTCATACACATTGGTAGTGAAAATTTCTTTATTTACGAAAAAACTAGTGGATATTAGTAGCATATCATTGATGCACGATGCAACAGTAGTTACCTTTTTGAATGGTTTAGTCCATCCTTCATTATCCTCCTTGTCTCTGCAATAGATGTAAATTGAAATGACCTGTCGAAGTTGATGAATACGGGACAACATCTTACGGCTCAACTTTGCACCTCCGATAAATATTACCTTGTCTTCCTTAAGTAAAGATCGAATGTATTGCTCACACTTGTTGTCATCTTCAAATACTTCCGAACGTTTAATCAATTTATAAAGATGTCTCTGTATATTGTGGTGTTCATTCATGTTGTTGATGTCAACATGAAGCCAAACAAGAGAAAATGTCTCGAGATTATTGTTCGTGCGTACTGCAGATGCACGAGTTGTTGTTGTCGACTCCATCGCATATTATGATTCTCGTTGCGAATATTGAAGTATTTTAAGAACAGAATGAAATAACTCTTATTTACTGAAATGACACAAAACACAAGGTAAGAATTTTTTTATTACTTGCATTGTTATCTTGATTTACATCCTTCGAAGAAAAGAAACAACGCTTTTCATTTATAAAGAACAAGTTCAACACATTACACGTTGCTTCCTTTCTATTTTCTTGATAACGTACAGACTCATGATTGCACATTCGCACATATTCGACTTGCGCACAACTATAGAAACTGGGCAAAACACGGTAGTTTCTAAAAAATTTCGATACTCTTTTTAAATCTCTGAAATCTTGAATTCATGGCATCACTTTAAGTGATCTATAGAATGTGCAGTACAAGATTAGAATTCTCGCCTATAACAAAACTATTTGCTTCAGAAACAACATTTGGCCATGCCATGTCTATAACCGTCATTAGTTATATCGTCAAGAAACGTTATAATACTAGACTTTTTGCAAAAACTAATTGTAGTCAAATACTTAAATACACCAGTGCGAAACTGCAATATTACTTTTACACCTCTTTAGCTTTGAATTGAACGAGCTAGAAAAGATGAAAGCGTTGCAACATCTACTGCAGAAAAAAGTGAAGACTCCATCAAACGTGAAAGCTTAGAAACGCGTGTAGATGCAGTATGATCGGTACGTGTACATGCATGAGTCGTTATGACATGACATACGTATGAATGTATCAGAGAGTAAACTATGTTCTCAAGTCTACGCATGAAAGTTTCCGCATGTACATGCTTAACATTTTCACATACGGAAACATACAAGTGTTTTTTTTAGAAACTCCCTGCGTGTGCATGCGAGACAGTATTAAAATGACCAAAAAATGAAGCATATATCACAGATATAGGGTGTGGGTGTGGGTATCATTTCCCTCTTTACTCACATCCACATCCACATCCACATCCATACATCTATACCCCACACCCACACCCGCACCCACACCCACACCCACACCCGCACCCGCACCCACACTCGCACTCACACACCTACACCTACATCCACACCTTTCATTTCTAACAGCATGCAGTATTACTCTGCAGTTTGCAAAAAAAGGATGTTGATTCTTATCGAATATATTTTTATGCATGCTGTTTGCTTCGGCGAAGACATTGTAATCAAATATTACGCTTAGTCACCTTTGTAAATACTCTCATTTGAGTGTATGTGTATAAAAAAAACGACGAAATTTTCAGGTGTCATGTGTTTCTGCGCTGAATAAGAAGACGAATTCACCAAGTGAGTTTGTGAATGTTGCTGTTCCGTTGATGACTGCCATTAGCCACTTTACAGTTACTTATTTTTTCGATGAGAGTGAATACTATACTTGCAAGTATTTTACATAGCATGAGTTCTTTTTTTGTTAGATAAGTATGAAAAGTATTTCAGAATATGACTCAAAAAAACATTACAAAGTTAAATCTTAACTACCAACACAAACAAATGAATATTTTACAGATAAATCTGTTTGTATTAGGAATGCAGATACATAGACAAGAATTTTATGTAACTCGATAGAGATTCCGATTAAGGTAGAACTCGTGTTAATTCATCAGTGAAGATGTGAGAGGAAGTAGTGTTTTTAGAGTTATGCTGTATTGATGAGTCCCTAGAGACAGCGAAGATAGAAATCGATTGCACAAAATGATTAACCCGAAAAAGATATGCATGCATTAGTGCATTAGAATGATGCAAAAAGGATCGATAATACTATATGTTTATGCCGCTAAGAATGTTGATAAACTCTACGGCGTATAGATTAGCATAAAATTTAGTTTTAGATTATTGTTGAGTTATGCATTCATAGGCTACAGAGTATTGAATATATCAGAGAAACTTTCATTCAAAAGAAAAATAGTAAACTAATCGCAGAAATCAAGGAAAATTAATATGAATGAGGATAAATGCTGAACAAAGTTTCAACTTTATAATATATCATATTCTCAAACAAGAGTCTCGCAATAATTTGTGATGTTTGTCGTCAATTATCTATAATACAGTCGTTTTAAGAGGAATATCAAATTGTTCTAGACTAAAGATT